GGGGGGGGGGGGGGTACTTTTATTTTTTCCATCCCTTACCGGTTAGCCCATTGCCCACGCTTCCTCGAGAGGACGGGCCATTGTTCCCCCAGGACTTTTCCCCGATGCCCAATCGTTTTTTCCTACTTGCCAAAGATGGTTCAAAAATTTTTTCCCTAGTTTAGTGGGGGGGGGGGGGGGGGGATAGTAGATATTATGTACATATAGATGGCCCTTACCATTCGCAAACATACAAAGCCGTTTCATCCCCACGAAGGTGGGACGAGGTACAAGGGGTTTCCCAAGAAAGGCAGGCGTTAGGTACCCCGAGATCGAAGGGGGAGGGGGGGGGGGGACTCAACAACAACTCGTGGACAGGATGCGAGCGAGGTCAAGCCACGTTCGACTCCATCCCAGCGGCGGCGGCCGTCATCAACAGGAAGAACAAAAGACAAAAAAAACGAACGGGGGCGGACCTGCTGTGTACATAAAACGAACTGCACCGATAATTCAGAGGCCAGTTATGCGGCAGTAGTCACTGATGTTGTCATATGGCATCTCGCACAGCGAATGTTCCCATGCTGGAGGTCATCATATCGAAAACACATCAGCAAACCTATGAAAATCTACCGCTACAACACACCAGCCTAACGCATGCGTAACCCCTCACCTTCGACAGGTGCCGACACCGGGGCTTGCGGCGCGACGGCCCCGCCCCCGGGGGCGCGATGCAACGCGTTCACCGCCGCCGCCACCGCCTCCTGCTGAGGGTTGTGCTGGAGGTGCGGCTGCTGCTGCTGCTGCTGGAGATGCTGATGCTGGGCTGACGGGGGAGAAGAGCCCATGCGACCTCCGCGTCCGGCTGGAGCTCCGTTGAGGATGGAAGGCGCCGCCGGGGAGGGCCAGTGCGACGGAGGGAGGGAGGAGACCACGTCCATGTTCGGCTGAAACAAAAAAAGTGGCAGCGGGGGGGGAACAACAGAGAAGAACGGGAGGGGTGCGCGCGCGAGAACGGGAGCCATTCCACATAAGTAAAATGGGACAGGACGGGACGCGCGAGCACGGAAACGCAACCATTGCGACATGAAATGCATAAATACATGCCACCTGGCTAGCTATCGAAAAAAAAAATAAGCACACGCGTACCGGCGGCAGGTGGCCGTTGGCTCCGGCAGTGGCCCACATAAGGCCCGCCATGTTGCCCATGCCGCTACTGCTTGGAACATACCCGCCGGCCGCTGCAGAGGGTCGTCGTGAGGCAATCAGCGGCGCACAGCAAACAACGTGGGGGGGGGGGGGGGGGGCAAGGGACGGTCACGTATCCCCTTTCCGTGTGGTGGTAAGGTTTGGTGTGAAAAACACCCCCAAGTCTGCGGGGGGTTGACCTTGCTGTGGTGGCATCAGCTTTTGTCCAGCAAAGCAAAGCAAAGCAAAGCAAGGCGCAGCAGCAGCGAGCCGAACGAAACAAATCGCGTTCCAGGTTACTTGAAAAGACGGACCGCAGCACCGGACGTCGATGTTCTCAAACACAAGGCCGCATGACCTTGAATTTCTGCACAAGCCTTGGCCGTGACTCGTACCCCCCCCTCCCCCCCCCCGACCCCCTCACAAAAACAAGAACGGCTTTTTTTTCGTGGGTACACCGCCTCATACAGATAAAGGCAAGGCAAACTATCACTCACAGCTTCTGTGCTCTCACAGCAGCAGCAATCCAAACATATTGATCAACCTTGACGAATCGCTCAGAAATCACAAACCAACACCTGTCTGCTCAAATTACGCACAACGACTATTATATTGCGATTTGGTGGGGAAAAAGAAAAGGCTTCTCGCTATATGCAGCACACACCCTCACTGCTGTCATGCGTGGTCGGAACAAGACACCCACGACACCCCCGCAACAAAAGGGCACACACGGCAGGTAGCACTCCGACCTTTTTGCCCCGGCTTGTTGAACCTAGCAGCGCTCGCCCCAACTCACTCACCGCTTTGTGCCATTTTCTCGGCCTTGAGCCTGCGATTCTTCCGCTTGCTGAGGACCATGACGGGCACGGTGACCACGGGGGCTGTCCAACGCAATCGCAACGCGCGCAGGGGGCAACAAAAATGCGGTGTGTCTTGTCGGTTACACCTTCGCAAATGCGAAGTCTTCTGGTGTAGGCAGGCGTCGAGGGTAAAGGGAGTGACATAATTCCTTCATTTTTTCTCCGTGAATCCAGCTGTGTTTCCTTTGGTTCGACGCAAATGTGGGTTGGCCCGATGCGAGCACCGTTTCCTAGCACCGCTCCGATGAGCAACCCCGCCGCCCGACGTACGTCTGAGTGCTCCAGACGCGATTGCCACGAGCTACATATGTATGTGCAGCATGTGCTACTGCCTTAAGCTACAACCGCTTGCATTCTATTCCTACATCCTCGCGTGTTCCTTCTCCTCCTAGCCGGGGGGGAGGGGGGCAAGCATATCAGCATGGCTCATTCATCGCCATACCCACGCCTATGTTCTTGCCCCGTACCTAGAACCTAGGTCAGCCAAAGCACAGCAGCCCGCACTGTACCACGATGGTGACGCCAAGTGTCCGGGGGGCATTCTTCGAAAATGAAACACACGATTCAACAAAGCTCTAACGCCTCTACCGAGACCAATTCGTGTTCAGTGCTAACCTCCTCTCTCCCCACTTGTAAAAAGAAAGTAACAGACACTAACGGCGACAAGGTCGTGCTCAACGCTAACCACCCCCCCAGAAAAAAAAAGTAACGGCGACAAAGGCCACCTCTGGCTATTGACCGAAAAAAAATCAGACGGTTTCTCCTCTCACCGACGTTGCTGAACTCGGGGGCCAGCCGCACGTCCGGACAGATCTTGACGCAGAACCTTTGGCTCTGGTGCCTTTGGCTAACCTCCGTGATCTTGAACTGCGGTTATCCAAACGCCAAGCACGGCATGCAAGACCAAAAAAAAAAAAGAAGAGCAATCAGTGTAGCAGTGCAGGAGCAAAGATGGGGAGACGGTGGCGGCCTCATTGGCGAGGAGGTCTCGATTCTGACGAAACAGACTCCACAATCTTGAAACGGGAGAGGAAACGAGAGCGACAGACAAAAAGAAAAAAAGAAATCAAAGGCCGGAAAAAAAACTTCAACTGCTACAAATACGCGTGCGGGCGCTCTCGAAACAGGCGGTGGCACAAGCACCAGCGACCTAATTCCGGAAGCGTCCAGAAAGAGAATAAATTGGCCTACTGACACGCAAACACACACGTGCAAAGACCGCACACTGAGACTGACGCTTCATTGATCAGCCGACAAGCGCGGTCGATGTTAATAACAAAAAACACACACGTGGAAGTCCTCGCAAATATTGCTACGAAAAAAACAACGACGACGACGACAACGATAACGACCAAAACCCTCCCCCTGTACCGCGTTTTCTTATCATTATAGTACAAGACATCTTCTTGTCGCGCACCTTGAGGTTGGCGCGCCCGTGCTCGTTGGTGACGAGCTGGGTGTCCGACTGCACCTGTAGGATTTCCTGGGAGTGCACCTCGGTGCCGGCCTCGTACACGAGGGCCAGCGTGAGGGGCACGCCGGGCTGCGCCTGGCCCACCTGCCCCGACGGCAGCTTCTCCCGCACCTGGGGGCACCCACCCGGGCGTCCGTCCATCCGACCAGACAGCAGCAGATACAGGCAAAAAGGGACCGACAAGAGAAAATAAAATGAGCTATGACAAATTCGGCGGCGGTGTACAGCAGAATTTCGAAACATATGCAGGAACAAATGCAAGTGGGATGTATGCATCAAGGATGTCGGTTTCGATCTGAAGGCGGAAAGCGATTCGCTGCCAAAACCGCCCGTAAACGCGCGAGATGAGCCGTACGCGGATGGCACCAAACACGGATGTGACGACTACAATAGTTCACGTACGTCTCATGTGCCTGCCCACGGGACGGCCGTGCAACGGTCTCGTTGTCGATCACAACAATATCACAACTCGTTGTTGATCATAACAGTATCACAACAACAACTGCAGCCGGAGTAGCCAACCAGCAGCAGCAGCAGCAGCAGCAGCAGCAGCAGGAGCAACGACAACACCACCAACAACAACAGCGCACGCACGGTCGCTTCGATGGCGATGCAGTTGTTCTTGCCGCCTTCGTCCTTGTACCAGCTCTCAGGAGGCTGGCTCACTACCGTCAGGGCGGAGCGGCACACCATGATCGGCTCACTGTCCGCCTTGATCTGATCAAGCAAAAAGCACAGGCAAAGGTCAATCGCTGTTCACTGATTGGTCGAATAGATTCAAATCCTACCTGAACAGGAGCTGTGAGCTACGGTGTGATCTGGCGATATTGAGTGGGAAAGTCGTCACCAACAACAACAACAACCACAACAAACACCATCAACGAGATGAACCGAACAGACCTGCTCGCGTCCCCTGCCCGAGGAGGTCTCAACGTGGACCTTGATGCGGTTGCCCGTGCGCACGCAGCCCTCCCACAGGAGCAGGTGGAAGGTGGTCGAGCCGTCCAGCAGGGCCGGGCGCTGCGGCGTGAGCTCGAACATGTTGGGGTGTGTCGCCACCACCTGTTACGTGTGTGAAGGGTACATACATGTTGCATTGTTAGGGACTGCCTACTGCCTACGCAAAAGAAAGTATGTTAATTGCTGTGCATTACCATCGACCAACCCTAACCGGGTGACCAATGAAAAGACGTCAGTCAGCCTTCATGCCATGCACAGCAGGACAGAAAACGCGCCTTTTCTTGCCATCGAACGTGCGTGTGTGCGTACTTCTTCAATATTTGCATGGACTGCGTTTACCCGCTGAACAACCAAACTCCGTGCGTCGGTTACGCTTAGGCTGGCGAAACCTCGTTACTCCTCTGTAAGGTATCCCTAGGTGACAGGCGTCCATAACAAACGAAATAGACTGATCGGGCGCTATGGCTATCCAGTCTCCTGGGCAAACTCCGCCCCAGAGGGCAGCACTGTCTGTGAACCGCGGCTGTGCTCCAACGTTAGATACAAATGTAAATGTAGCTGTCGTGTACGTGCAAATGTGTACGATGCAGTCGAGTCTCTCGGGTGGATACATCGTCGGACAACCTCGAACAAAAAATAAACATGAACGATGTCGTAGCGTGAAGTAATGTACAGTGGTTGGATCTCTCTCTCTCTCTGTGTGTTCTTGCCTTGTGTCACACGAACAGGGCGATGCGCAGAAAACCAATACTAAATAAAAAACTGATTGCGATCAGAACGGTATTTACTCCGCAACGCTCGTACGCGGACAGGTTGTCGTTAGGCAGCCGTGTGACGCGGAATAACTTGCGAAGAGAGATTCTTGAGGGCGTTGGGTATTACACCGGGGTGTCCGTTGGTTGCGTTAGCTTTTGACATTGTTCCCCTCTTCAAGCAGAGAAAACCTGCCCCGCGCTCGGTGCCCGAGTGTGGGAAAAGCTACCGGAGTCCCGGGTCGGTGACGCAACAAAGCGGTTTGGATGGCCTGTTCCCTACAACGGAAAGCAGGCTCTTGACACACAGCCAAAGGCAACAGCCTACAGCTTAGAGTAGGCCAATACCCCGATCGGAAGTGCTGCTGCAGGTTGGTGACGGCGTGACGGCGGGCACCTTGCGCACGTCGGGGATACAAAACTACAGCACATCGGCACTATTTTTCACGTGAATCACGACAGGTGCTGCTGCTGTCGTTGCACACCACGCGCGCGGAAAATAAAATCTCCGCACGGACGTACACGCAACGTGCGACCTCTCCTCACTCTCTCATAATTTCCCTCTCTCTTACACACAAGCAACAAGCGTTCTGCACACCATCAGAACCGGGGGGCATTTTGCCGGCACCTCCGTAGACGGAGAGAAAAAAAAGCGGACAAAAGTGCCCTCGTGAACTCGCAACACGGCCGCCCCGGCGAGGCATGAACGGCGGCGCCATGACCCCCCCCCGTCGGGTTTCTCAAAGATCCGGGGCGGAGGGAGCTGTGGGCACGCAAGCTCGCTCTCGCGCCCATCGGAAAGAAAGGAAAGAGTCGGGCACCGGTGCGAGGCCCTCGGAGAACGGCACCTACGGGGCATGGGGAAACCAGAACCGGTCCTCGAAAATAAATATAACTCGGCAGGCAGCAGCCAACAGCCGACCGATATTCAAACGTGTGTGTGTTGCTACTGCTGTAACGGTTGTTGTTGCGCCGTTTGCTGTGCGCGTCTGCTCCTCACCCTTCCATCCTCTCCCGTTATGGAGACGTTGATGCCCTGGGTCGTCTGCTGCACCACGTCCTCGTCGTTCAGGATGCTGACCTTGAGCTCGATGGCCATGCCCACGAAGAGGTGGGTCTGGGACGGCTTCACCTCCAGGTGGCAGCCTGCGAGGGATGCGCGAGGGAAGCCGGCACCGAACTCATTCTCCGCGCCTGCCGGCAACCCGCCGCCGCCGCCGCCACCGCCTTCTCTCTGTTGCCGCGCACGTTTTGAGCTCCGGTCGTCCATCCTCATTGATTCTGTATTTGACCGCAGCAGGGAGGAAATTGTGGTTGAAGAATCCAGAACCCGCGAGTACAGAACGACAGCGCGCTTCTGACTTCTGATCGTGAGAAATGTAATAATATGGAGGGATCCTGGGAACGGGGATGGTGTTGAGCAGAAATTTCCGCAAACAATCTTTGGGTGAAAAAACTTATGTGGCACCACAAAAAAAAAATAAAAACAGACCGCAAATTCTATTCGGGGTGCGTGGTTGCGCTTAGTCTATGCATACAAAAGCCAGCCTGTACGAGCGTATACGAGCAGAGCCCTGCACTGCGGTTCGTTGCGGGTGAGTGCGGATCGAGAGAGATGCTCATGGGTAGTTAGGCGGTTGCTTTGTCCGCCGGTTTGGGTGTACGTGCGTGTGGAACGAACATCTGTTCCTCTGTTTTTCGTTTCTCTTGAAAAACAAGTGCTTCGTGATGCCCTGGGTTCCGATTATTTGCCCTCCTTCCACCTTTCCTCCCTCTTTCATCTTGCACTTACTTTGACACACGCACACGTGGTTGGTTACCGTCATTGGTAAACAAAGCCAAGCGGCAAGGGGTTTATACGCCATCGAAGATGGGTGTGAGAGGGCAGCTCAACCCTCCTAGACGTAGGGGAAATCTCGGGCACGACTTGCGTCGTGGTTGTGTTCTTAATTATCTTGCATACCGCTCTCCTCCTCTTCTTGCGTGCGGAGAGTGCTCTGTGTGGTGTCTCCTCTCCACTTTACACACTATTGTGTATCTGGCGGGCTCTGTAGCTCTGCCTCTTACAATCAGCCGGGAGTAGAACGCGGCTGTCATGCTTTCTCTCTCCGTGCTAGATTTCATGGATAGAGATGAGCGCGTGGGCGAGAGAGAAGAACGACAGAGCATGATCCAGCAAGTTGTGCGTTGCATTTTGGGTGGGTCGGAAGTCTGAAGTCTGGTGGAGTCTGAAGAAAAAAAAAATGCACCGCCACTACAGCAGTAGCGAGGAGATGAGGAAATGACTTGTCCACCCATAGAGTACAGGCAGGCAAGAAGTATGAAAGACCAACCTGTGTTTCCACTGGTCCCCGAGCGGCATACAGCGAACTCCTTCGAAGGGGTGCATATGTGTTATTGGTCGTCTCTCTCGGCGTATGATCCATGCACCACAAATTTGCCCCGTTGACTCGTTTTATGCGATAATTGCACTGCTGTTGGCAGCACGCGACGCAGCTTGGCGTGTTGAGCGACGAATAACACAGCAGTAGCAGCAGTGTCCCGCAGACTTGCGCAGATTAACCGATACAAACGCATACGCCAAATCTTATTACCCTCACGGCCTTGATAACTGTAAAGTACATCACAAAGTGCGGCAATCGTTTCCCTATAAAATCCCTACTACAGTACTGCTGTAGGCCGGCACTGCTGTCTTATAAATGTATACGCGATGCTTCACTTTGTTGCGGGATTTGTGGAGGTAGACGTATGATGGTGCGTTACCATGGAACATATTTGATGGGCCTGGCGTTTACAGACGGGATGCCGTCATGTGTCATGTGGTGGAGGTGCATAAGCATACAGAGATGCAGGAAGACCTCGAGTTCTACCGCATCTGATTCAGTTCCGTGTGGGATCAGCCGGTACTAGATTGATGACTCTGCTGTGTGTGCTACGTGGCCAGGTGGTCGGAGGGCACACCCGAAGGGAAGCAAATGATTGCAGAAACAACCCGCATTCGTCAAGCGGTAGTTCCACACAGCGCCGGATAGCATAGTAGACGGTACTACTATGGTTGAAGAGAAGGAGATCTCAACCTGTGTGTGCATGATCCACCACCGGTTTTGTGTGTGTGTCTGTGCTCCAAAATTGTCGAAAACCGAAAGTGCCGCAAGAGGCGGAGAGATGGCACCCCCCCTACAATAGACCGATGTTCAAAGCTCGGTTGCTCGACAACCCATTGCCAACACCGAAAATGGTGGTGTCGGAAGAATCTCGTTGAGGGCTTTCCGTAGAACTGCCAGGCTCTTCCCGCACCCCCTTGGCCGTGGAGCAATCGAGGTTTGGAAGTTGCTCCAGGGTCCAGGGGGGTGCCATCTCCCCGCCCCTTACGATATTGGACGAATGGTCATGCATGGAACGTAAGGATGATGCACTTCGGGATGCACTTCGGGGGGGGGGAAGCGAAAAGAGAGGCGACGCCAGAACTTTGTAAGATGATGCCCTGGCAGTAGCAGTCGTGTGGGCAGGAAAGACACCGCGGGCAGGACACGACTCACGGCTGCCACCCGGTGATGAATCTGAATGAAGATGCACGTTGCCTGTTACAACAAACAATTTCATTCTCTACCTCCCATTGCTGTGAGACCTCGCACCAGCGGCGAGCGATTCATAACAGCAGAGTTCGGTCTTGCTCTCTCCCGCTTGTAGCCGTGTCGTCTGCTGTTGTTGCTTCTCCTTGGCTGCTGTTCCTGCAACATGTCCTTGCTTTTCCCGCTTTGCTACTGATGTTGCTCTTCTTGTTTTCCGCGTCTCTCGTGATACATACAATAGCGCACTACTGCTGTACTTGGTGACATGGGTCGCTCACGCGTCAACCCCCTTCATTGTACTGCTGTACTGAGCGAGTGTAAACCTCCTTGTTGCCGCTTTGTTGCTTCCGCCGCAGAGCACCCCCCGCGCATACTTCTTCGGGCACGCTTGCTTGGTGTGGGCCGCGGCCGGAATTTAAAATGGCGTCGGACATGCCGACTGACCTACCACCAGGTAAGGACCAGTGTCGTATGTGTGGCCCCGACTCTGCTGTTGTAAGGTACGGAGCGGGATACCATCTAAGAAATGTCAAAGTCAGGTCAAGGATCATTTTCTTGTTTCGTCTATGAGGTACGGAACGGGTCAGCATGTAAGACGTGTCATAGTCGGGTCGAGGATCAATTTGTTGTAGGTCGTCAAGGCTGTCCACCACAAAGAGGGCGTTTTGTACAGCAGAAGAGGAGTGGCTGGAAGTCCCTCTACAGCTGTCCAGTTTTCACGAAGCGATAGACACGACGAGCGAAGACTCACAAGGAAAACACTTCGAAGCGTTTTCACGTCCTGCACATCCACGTCGCCCCCCCCCCCCCCCTCGGAGGCCCCCTAAATCTAAATTATTCCACCGGGGACCCCCAACGGGGCTGGAAGGAGAGCTCGCTCCAAACCCCCACCCCCCCCTTGCTTGCGCCCAACAATTTGTTTTGCGATCCGGCTAACCCCCCCCCCCCCCGGGCACCCCCTAAATTTTTTGGGCCCGTATTCCTGGGGGGGACCCCGGGTGGGAAACCCAACCAGCCGGCCACCCAAGGGGGGACTTTAAACCTGGCCCCCAGGGAAACCCCAAAGGCCCAAGGGTTGGGGGGTTTTCCCCAACTTTGGCCCCCCAAAAAACCCAAATAAGAATTTTTTTTCCTGTTTTTTTTTGGGTTTGGGGGACAAAAAATTGAATCCCCCAAAAAATTTGGGGTTGGAAAAAGCGCCCCC